AACAGAGAGAGAGAGAGAAAGAGAGCCAGGGACAACAACGTCACATTAGAAAGGTATAGTAGTCATCCACAACTATTTTCAGTTGCAGATGATAAAGGATTCAGAAAGTTTATTCATGCAGGCCCATATGACAGAGAATGTGCATCTTCTTTTTGTTTTCATATTTTAATTTATATTTAATTGTGTTGTAGTTTGCAGGAAAAAGCTGGAAATAGTTAAAAGTTGAAATGTGAATAGTTGGTTTTTGTATTATATGATTTATTTATTACATTTTATGTGGAGTGAATAAATAAAAGTATATTTACGGTGGCCACTAGAGACAAAGCACGTACAAACTCCGAAGCACATAAAAACTCAAAACACGTACAAAACACAGCAGAAGTGCTACAGGATGCTAGGGGCAGTGTTGAGCTTTTGTTACCTAGTGGCTACACAAGCCAGCAAGTAAAATGGCCTGCATTTGTATAGCGCTTTTCTAGTCCTTAAGGACCCCAGAGTGCTTTACACTACATTCAGTCATTCACCCATTCACACACACATTCACACACTAGCAATAGCAAGCTACGTTGTAGCCACAGCTGCCCTGGGGCGCACTGACAGAAGTACCAACCACCGGATTTGGTGTGTGGTAGTAACAGGTAAATGAACTTTTTTTTTTTATTATTTGAATATATATGAGTGATTGTGTATAAATATACAAACAATATGCTTTCAATTGTGTAATTTAAGTGATCTAGGAAGCTCTGTTTGGGAAGTTCAGTTAATGCTAGAAATGTGTTTTGGAATTTGTACGTGTTTTGTCTCTAGCGGCCACCGTATATATTTATATATAAACATATATGAATAAAACCACTTTTTTTGCATTAGTAATTCCTTTTGTGCATAATTTCTTATTGTTGTTAATAATAAATTAATTAAAGCAACAAAACAACCTGAAGAGCCGGTTCTCTAAAAAGATCCCATCACTACAAAGTATGTGCCAAGTCTCTCGCATTGCGCTTGGAAAGAGTTATTCACGTTTTAGTTAATGCAGACCAGACAGGATTTATCTGAGGGAGGCTCACATCTGATAACATAAGAAGGCTGTTGCATATCATAGATGCCACAGATGGCTATCATAATCCATGTGCAGTATTCTTACATGATGCGGAGAAAGCCTTTGACAGGCTAGAGTGGGAATATACATGGACAGTATTAAAACACTTTGGGTTTAAGCAGAAGTTTGTTGCAATGATTAAGACAGACCACTCACCCTTTGCAAGTGTACTAACAGGGGACCTTATTTCTCCCTTGTTTACATTCAGTGTTGTTACATCCCCACAAATGAGATCTAGGGGAAAGTGTGGGGAGCGGTAACAAACAGGACCGGAAAAGAATGAAAACGAAACCAAACAAAGGTGTTTAGCATATATTAAGGTTTTATTACAAATACTCTTAACACAAAGAGACAGCAACACCACTTTATCAATAAGACTAAATAAGAAAAAGATAACAACAGCAAGAAAACAACTAATAAACAACAAAGTAAAGTGCACTTCCGAGGGCCCACAGGCCCACCCTTCGCTAGCAGCAGCAAGCTCTACTGCTGTTGAGGCCCACACTACTCACTTGGCGCAGTTACTGTCTCCACTTCTCCCAACGCTCCACACCACAGGCAGCACAATCACACAATAAGACCTTTCAATCACCTAGAAAGCAATGTAGAGACACAGGACAACCACCCTGCACCACACAATTCTTCCCAAGTAACCTCTGAGAGGTAATTGCTGACTGAGTTCAGGTGCCAAACGAGGGAAAGGGCATCAGCTAGGGCAGAGTAAAAGAAAGACAGAGGGGAGGAGCAAGAGAGGAGGAGGCGGAGAGAGAGGAACAGCACACCCACACACTCCCACAGCCTCACAAGATGTAACAACCATGGGACAAGGCAGGGTTGCCCACTTTCCCCTCTCTTGTTCTGCCTCTCTCTCTCTCTCTCTCTCTCGCTCTCTTTCTCTCTCTCTCTCTCTCTCTCTCTCTCGAGAACCCTTAGCACAAGTCATTAGACAGTCCACAGTCTCTCACATTAGAATTGGTGCTCAAAATCATATCATATCTCTTTAGGCAGATGACATTATTTTGTTTTTAGACAACTTTGAGACATCCATCCATCCATTGATTAGATAATTTACAATTTTGGTTCTCTCTCGGGCTACAAAATAAACTGGACAAATCTGCCTTGATGCCTTTGGACGATGAAGGTACCAAAGCTTCTTTGCCTGGGTGCATTCAGATTAAAAGCACTTTTACTTATTTGGCCAGTACAATTCATAACAACATACAAAAGATAAACAGGCACAACTTGAATACCATGCAAAAAAGGTGGTTTGGCAGTTCCAAAAACTTTACTTTTTGCTAAAGCATATCGTTAGGGCTGGATCAGGTGACCCTAAATCCTCCTTTAGTTGTGCTGCAAAAGTTGTAGGCTGCCGGGGGATTCCCATGATGCATTGAGTATCTCTTTTTCAGTCACCTTTCTCACTCACTGTGTGACTTCTCTGCACTGAATCATACTTGTTATTCATCTCTGGCTCTCTTCCACAGCATGTCTTTTATCCTGTCTTGCTTCTCTCACTCCAACTGGTCACAGCAGATAGCTGCTCATCCCTGAGCCTGGTTCTGCCGGAGGTTTCTTCCTGTTAAAATTGAGTTTTTCCTTCTACTGTCCTTAAAGTGCTAGCTCATAGGGGATCATGATTGTTGGGTTTTCCTCTGTATTTATTATTGTAGAGTCTACCTTACAATGTAAAGTAAAGTACCTTCAGGTGACTGTTGTTGTGATTTGTGTGTGTGTGTGTGTGTGTGTGTGTGTGTGTGTGTGTGTGTGTGTGTGTGTGTGTGTGTGTGTGTGTGAGAGGGGAGTCAGCTCGAGAAACGTTGGTGCTGAACCAAGAAAAAACATTTTTGGTGTGCTGAATAAAGTATCTGTGAGAAAGACACCTGAATATCTTGTGGGGGGCTGGATATTCACAATGACCCTTATTAAAACATATTTTACATTTTCTTTTTTCTTTTTTTTTTGTATACAGAACAGGGGTAACAATGGTAACTTTATTGTCCCCAGTGGGAAATTGATTTGCAGTCTGTTTATACAGACACACAAAAAAATAAAAAATAAACCACGCACATCCTCACCACCTTGTGGGGCAGCTGCAGAGCTGAAAAAAAATAATGCACAAAAAACTCCAGATATCTACCTCTAGCAGATCTTTTAATTTTAGTTCTACAGTCTGCAAACTGTTAATTCTTTTCTATGTTTTATTTTATATTTTAAAATTTAAAAAATTTAAATCATACCTTATGAAAAGTGAATTTTATATATTTTTTTTACATGTGCAGCTTACTGCACAGTTGTTGATCGACATCAACAGATGCAGATATAAGAAGTATAAAGTAAGATGTATTCAGTATGTTGTTGTAGGTTTGTGGTGAATCTAAATTTCTGTTCCTGCTTTGGTTTGGTTTGTCAAGTCACCAGAATGATGCTCATGCAACTGAAACTAAATGTAGGCAAATACTGGAGTCATCATTATTTCACGTCTTCCTGTTTTTGCTTTTTGTAAAGGAGACGTTGTAGGTGTCAGGCAACAATGTGAGAAGTTTATTGAAAATGAAATCAATAGTAAATATGTTTGGGGAAATTAAATATTATTAAATATATGAGGGCCGTTACCACATTTGTACTGAAAATTCAAATTTAAATCAAGTTCTTCCCTCCCAATATTACAAAGATGAGTGGCAAAATTAAATGACCCTCTGGGATTACCAGTTAATTTGAAAGCAGAAATAGAATCAGGTGTTTTCAACTGAAAAACTTTTGATTTTTTTTTTAAAGACCAATTAAAGCAAAGTCTGAAACAGTGTTGGATTTTCTTCTGGTCAAAACAACCATAGCACAAATACCCAAGAGGTTAAGACAGCAATGTAGTGGGAGTATAACCAGTCTTTAATCAGTTGCATGTTATTGTAAATGCTGTTACTGCTGAGTCCGGCTCCTCCTCTGTGTCTGGATCTAGTTTCAAATCAGATTTCCTTGATGACCATTTTGCTGCTTCCTCCTCGCCCTGCTGTGTCTGTGCCCCTCACTGGCTGGCACTGTGTGATTCCTCTGCCTCTTTTTAAAACCAGCTGGACTGAACGGGTGTAATTCCTATTGTTACTTGCACAGATGTCGACGGGAAGTAAACCAGTTTTCAAAATTAAAGTACGGTCTTTGATTAAAATGAGTAAAATCCTGTTTGGAGAAGGAAAACACTGTAGCTAAGCTTTTAAACAGGGAGGTTTCAGAACTTTAAAATGTATTCACTATCAAACTCATCTACAGATGTAGATGACTTGATCACAAATCTAACGCTACGTGCTAAAAGAAAAAAATATAGACAACTATGGCATAAAACTGTGCTGCTGTCAACGAGTAACTGTCAGTTAACTGAGGCCGTCATCAAGTTTGTGTAGGTGTCAGTTCTTTGAAGCAGTTCCTTCCTTTCTTTGCTTTCACAAGTCAGGTCAATTCACGCGAGAGGAGTGCAGCTGTGACACATCTGCGGAGGCGTGTTTGCCCCCCACTCATCACAAACAAACGCTTCTCTGCACACCGTGACTGCTCTGTGTGCTTATAGTAAGCTCGCACCTTGTATTCTTTCGCAATCATTTGTATGTGACAGTGATTTCATTTACTTGGTAAATATTTTCGACTAGTTTACAGTTTTATCGCGATCGTGACTTACAATATAATTCAATTCATGTGCACAACCTCGTACAGTGGTGGAGCAAACTGAAAGAGTTTGACCAGTCGTAAATACCTGAAAGGACCACCAAGATAAGAACCACTGAGCTGGCAGTTTATCAGCCAAAATGAAGACCATCTATATCATCTGTCTTTTTTGCAGTAAGTGGCTTAGAAAAATTATATTAATGTAATTAATTAACGTATTAATGTTTTCTAACATTTGTTTAACTCCGGGATGCACTATATCTTGCCAATTTTAGCAGCTACGTTGGCAGATGGAAACAAGTTGATGAAGATAGAAGGATTTCAGGGCAGAAATGTCTCCTTCAAGTGCTCACACAGACTTGCATGGACGTATAATAAATACTTTTGCAAAGATCCATGTGGGAGCGAGAAAGACAGGCTGGCTACTGTAAAATCTGGTGGAAGAGCAGAGTCCGGGAGGATAACTCTGGTGGATTCTGGAGATGGATCCTTCACTGTGACCTTGAGTCATCTCCAGCTGTCAGACTCACATCAGAAATATTGGTGTGGAGTGGACAGGCCTGGTTTGGACACATACACTCAGATACAGCTCACAGTAAAGAAAGGTATGTCATCATTTTATTTCTTCTGAGTTTATTTTATCAGTACGCTTAATTTGAATTATGCATCTGCATTCTTACTTCAAAAGATAAGGAAAAAAAAATACTCCACGTTTCTTATAGTTCTTTATTTCAGAAAAAAATTACTGGATATAAAAGCATAGCTTGTGAATTAAAATGCATTTTATAATCCGGTTTATAATCTGGTGGTTCCAAGTAATTTCCCCTCGTGGCTTGACTGGATCTTCTTGTTAAAAGATTCAAAAGATTTATTTCCCCTTTTTTTCTTCTCACGTGGTTTTATTGTATTTTTGGAGGCTCAGTGAAGAAAAACATCCAGTTCATAACATATTAGAAACATCAGAGCATTAAAACAATCAAATAGGTTTATTTTAACTTTTTGTTTTTCTTGTTCTAAGTCATCTCTCGATAAGCTATATTAATACAAAGTTGTTAAAACTAGCTTCTGGACACCTGAAGTGAATACATCTGTAAAATGCATCAATTCCTTTTTGCATCAGTATATTAAAAATTCCACTTATATATCCATGACATAAAACTTATTTTGCAGAAAACATCCCTAGATATATATAAAAAATAAAGGTATCTAAAAACAGTAATCTTATTGCGGAATTAAATTTTGAATGAAAAACTTTTACTTTTAGAATATATATATTGTATATTGATTAGTTAATAATAGTACCATAATTTGCCCCTTTCTCTTATACAGCTGTTGAAACTGAGACACCTGATGTTCCTACCACATGGACATATCAGAATACCAACACAACACAGTTAACAACTGGAACAGACACCATTAAGCCTACAAAACCTTCAATGGGTATAAAAACAATGTATTACAAATTATTGATTTACAGTCCTTACAAATATAAATTCTGGATACATTTTACATAAAGAAGTAATATTGAGTCCTGTTTTGCAGAATCATTCTCCACTAAAGAACAACCTAAAATCAGCACAGGTGAGTTTCCACTTGAGGATGTGATTGGTGTATAAGTTACTGATGAATAAGATGATTCTATAATCTTGTTTTCATCAGGCACCATTGTGTATGCTGCAGTCGGGGGCATTGCTATGGCATGTCTCCTGATGCTGACAGTATGCTTCAGGAAGTACAGAAAAACCTCAAAACCTCAACTACAAGTTTGCTTCAACAACACAGATGTCAGCAGTGCGCATCAACAAGAGGTATGAGATGGAAAATTGGAGATCACACTATCAGGAGGTTCATTCCCTCCTAGAGATCAGTGATTGCCTTAGACAGCAAATTAAATAAAGTAGAATATGATTGGGGGTTTTTTTTTTATACATCAAATGTAAGTATGTGACGAGGGGTTTCCCAAAAGTCATTTCTCATTTTTTTATATTGTGGAATTTTTCAATGGGGATGTGTTAAAACCACAGTGTTACATTAGTGTTGTGCTAAAGGAATGGTTTGACATTTTAAGTAAAATGCTTCTTCCCCTTACAATTGAAAAGTCAAAAGTCATATTGTGTATAGCTCTGGTGATAAATCTGGGTCAACTAAAAAGGTATTCTTGCAAAGTAACAGATACTGGCACTGGAAGTCACTCCTGTTTCAGAAGCACACACTCACTGACACCATTAGATGCAAAGATAAGTTCTACTGTCTTCCTGTTAAAAGTAGCAAGATAAAAATACTAACCTTCAAGCAACATGATGGTTAACTAAGCACAATTAAGAAAGTGAGAAGGGGGAGAGATAGTCTGGCTATGTCTGGTGATCTGGTACACAGAGAAACTGAATTCTGCATTCAAGTGTCTCAGAAGTACACTGACTAACATTTTACATTTCTGTTTAATTTGTAGTGAATTACATTTAAAGAAGAACACAGAGGCCTTTTTGAGTAGAAAACTCATACACTACCAGTCAAAAGTTTGGACACACCTTCTCATTTAATGATTTTTCTGTATTTTTACTACTTTCTACATTGTAGATACATACTGAAGACATCAAATGTATGAATTTATGGATATTTGCAGCAAAGAAAAAATATAAATAACTCAAAAAATGTCTTATATTTTAGATTCCTGAAAGTAGCCAGCCTTTGCTTTGTAACAGCTCTGCACACCCTTCTCTCAGTGAGCTTCATGATGTAGTCACCTTTTCCTTCTTAATGGCATTGGGACCATTGTGTTGTGCAGAAGTCAGGTTGGTGCACAGCTGACAGCCCTATTTAAGAACTGTTAGAATTCATATTATGGCAAGAATCAATCAGTTAAGTAAAGAGAAATGACAGTCCCTAACCCATCATTATTTTAAGAACTGAAGGTCAGTCAGTCCAGAAAATTGCAAAAAAAAAAAAAAAAGGGCTAACTGGCTCAAATGAGGACTGCCCCAGGAAAGAAAGACAAAGAATCACATCTGCTGCTTAGGATAAATTGATCTGAGTCACCAGCCTCAAAGATTGCAATTTAACCACACCTCAGATTGGAGCCCAGATCAATGTTCCAGTAGCAGATATTCCTCTACATCAGGGCTGCCCAATCCCAGTCCTCGAGAGCTACTATCCTGCAGCTTTTAGATGCATCCCTACTCCAACATAGCTGAATCAAATGAATGGCTTGTTATCAGGCCTTTGCCAAACACGATGGCATGCTGAAGAGGTAATCAAACCATTTGATTCAGCTGTGTTGGAGTAGGGATGCATCTAAAAGCTGTAGGACAGTAGCTCTCGAGGACCGGGATTGGGCACCCCTGCTCTACATCAACTGTTCAGAGGAGACTGTGCGAATCCGACCTTTATGGTCAAATAGCTTCTAAGAAACCACTACTAAGGAAAAGCAACAAGCAGAAGAGACTTGCTTGGGCCAAGAAACACAAGGAATAAACATTGGACCAGTTGAAATCTGTATTTTGGTCTTATGAGTCCAAATGTGAGATCTTTGCTTCCACCCACCATGCAGAAAAGGTGAACTGATGGTCTCTACATGCATGGTTCCCACCGTGAAGCACAGAGGAGGTGGCATGATGGTGTGCTGGTGCTTTGCTGGTGACACTGTTGGGGATTTATTCAAAATTGAAGACACACTGAACCAATATGAGTACCACAACATCGTGCAGCAACATGCTATCCCATCTGGTTTGCGTTTAGTTGGACTGTCATGTGTAATTCAACAGGACAATGACGCCAAACACGCCTCCAGGCTGTGAAGGGCTATTTGACCAAGAAGTATTGTGACAACTAACAACGAGTCTTTCACATCACTGTGGAGGAAATTCAGTCACTTTAGGAAAGCTTTTTAAGTAGGGCTGAACGATATATCGCATTTGCGATAATATCGCGACATGATCAAGTGCAATTTTCTAACCGCAAAGGCTGCGATTATACTCTGGACATGTCCAAATTCATGGGCTGCATCCTCCTGAGGCCGCATTTGTAGACCGATTACGTCACAGCGACGCGCCGAAGGCTGTCCAAATTACTACCATATCCCAGAATTCATAGCGCGGCCCAGCCAAACTCCAGTTTCCAACAATGGCGGCCGCTACTAAGTTTTAAAATTACTCATACTAATCTTTCAGGGTCACAAAATAAACTTTTAAAATATTTTCAGGCGAGAAAGTAGTTGTGTAAACATCAAATATCTGCTCGGTTTATCAAGATATCCCATATTTGCAAAAGTGCTTCGACGTTTTCAGAGGCGTCTGCTACCCACCAGCTCGACAGCTAGCTGGGAGCTCGAGGGTTACTGATGCGGCCGAGAACGGCACAACTCCCGGCACATCATTTTCAGATCACCGCGGAGTTTCGCTGCTCGGGTTAAATGTAATATATAAGTCACTTAGACAACCTAAAAATGTTATTGTTGGGCTTTTTTCAGTGTTTTGTTTGTTCGTGAGTAAATCGGTTTGGCTGAGATTAAAGTTATTAGATTAGATAAAATAAAACTTTATTAATCCCCCGGGTGGGTTCCTCCTTGGTTTTCACACAGCTGACTAAACGTCAAACAGAAAACTTATTAAACAGAAGTATGAGACAGTCGAGAATTTACGCCAGTGTCTGGTTATATTTTAGATAGCAAGAAGCAGACGGCCGAGTTTATTAAACTCCACCGAGACAGCGGTGACGCTAATCAGAACTAGACCGTCCAATTTCACGCCTTTAAATTTTAAAGGCGTGTTTGTGTGTGTGTTTATACAATTGCTATTATGTTTGCACTTTATGTGTAATGTTACTGACTGCAGAGATCAGTAAGATGTGTGTATTTTTTATTTATTAGTTTTATTTATTTAATATTATTTTTTAATTGAATGACTGTCTAGTAGTTCACAGATGTCGAAAAACTGAGTGTGGTAAAGCCACTGATTTTTTTATGTATATTTCTGCAATCTGCACATTGTACTGACTTTCATTTTAATGTTTACACCAGGGTTCCTTGTCAGCACTTTATGCTCAGATGTTTGTAAGCTAAAAATAAACTATTGTGTATGTTCAAATATACTGTTGTGATTGAAGAAGTTAAATAAAAATGTCAGTCATCAATTCATGCATCACCTCATGTCATCACAACAGAGGTCTGTCTTCCAGGAAAGAACAGTTTAAAATTAATGTAATATAGTATTGGCCATACTATATGATGTATTGCTTGTCTTTGTTTAATAATACAGAAGACAAAGACCTTAAAAAATAATCGCATATCGCATCGCAATCGCAATATTGGGGCAAAAAAATCGCAATTAGATTATTTTCCATAATCGTTCAGCCCTATTTTTAAGCCTGATCGCCTATTTAAGGTCATACAAAAGCATCTTTAAGTCTGGTCTTTGATTGGACCTAGTCTTTGACTCCCAACACCCTCTGGAACACAAACTCTCAAAACATGTGGTTAACCAGACTGGGCTTTCATCAAATCAGCAAAGATGCACAGGAAAAAAGGTCAGACACCAACTAGGGAGAATCAGGACAAACAGAACAATATTGCCATTTTTCTGCATAATCCATCATACAAAATGTAATCAAATGGAAAAGTCTCTTTTTAAAACTTGTTTTATTAGTTTTAATCTTTTAACTTTATGCATCAAGCAAAAATTTTATTATATGCAACATTCTCTGACTGGAAGAAATTTGTTTAACATTTAAACCTATTTTCTGCACATTCCAGCACATAAAATATTTTATTGTGTGTTTACACTCACTCTTTCAAATAGATGCAAGTGAAACACAGCAGAAAATAAATAAAATCAAAGACTAGCGGTCCTGTTGTTCTATTTTCACCTGTAAAGCAGGAGTGGGGTAGGCGGAGGTTTGCCCTGGTGCAGGTGTGCCGCAGCGGTCAGTTGAAGAATCCACGAGTTTCTCTGTGAATTTCCCATTAGCCTACTTTTCCTTGGCAGACAGGCTCTATTTAAGTGTTTTCTTTATCAAACAGGTCTGGACGTTAGCAATTCTAGGTGTGTAGTGAAATTGAACTCAGCTTTTCAAAAACAGGTTAATTAATTACTTGATGATTTAACAAGAGGATGCATTTACTTTTTCACAAAGGGCCAGAAAGATTTGGATTACTTATTTTTCCTTAATAAACATTTTTAATGCATTTTGTATTTACTCCAGTTCTCTTTAAATAATAAACAAAAATGTATTTGATGCTCTGAAACATTTAAGTGTAAGAAATATGCAAAAAACTGAGAAATCAGGAATAGGGGAAATACATTTTGATGGCACCGTGCATGCCTCTATCCTTACTGTAGAAAGATTTAGATTTATACATTTTTGTCTAATTCACATAGTAATTACTCAGCTAATAAGTAATGCTATTCAATGCCATGTGAGTAAAATAAAATAAAATAAATATTTTGAACATATAAGAAAATTCTGATTTATTTATTTATGTTTGTTTTTTTATTTTTGTCTGTTTTCAAGGGAGCAGAGCATCTTCAGAAGTTACCTGGGCGTTCCTCTATTCATACACACCATCAAAGACTGGATCCACCAGCAACTGAACCAACAGAAACGACATCTAGCCTACACCTTCATATCTATGAGAACATATCCGTGTCCAAACTTGCTGCAGCTTCAGAACATCCACCCGCAGAGCATCAAAATGACCACGATAATAACTCTGGGATCTACATAAATCCTTTGCCAGATGTAATATCTGAAAGAACAGGTGTTAGCAAGTGTAGGAAACACAGAGATAAACCTTTGACATCCAAAAATACAACGAGCGGTACTAATAGTGCATCTCCTTGTGTCTCCAGAGCTCCCTGTGAATCCACCGAAGAGAAGCCCAGAACACTTTGGTTTGGTTTAGATTTATCAGGAGTAAATCAGAGTTGATCTCAAAGATAGAATGTATATATTTTTCTGACAGTTATAAGCAAAACCTATTTCCATCATTATAAGCTTTTACACTAAATGGTGCTGTTAAGTGTTTTGATTACACATGTGGTTTAATATGTGTCTTAATCAAATTTACCTTACACTGGAGAAAAAAATGTGTGTGAACTACCATTTGACACTGTTAATATTTCTAGGTAAGTTCAGGGGAAGTGCTGGACTACATCCCTAGTGAATGAATACATTTAGCAGCTAGACTGCGTATTTGCCTTTGGTGTGAGTTTGTAGTAAAAGTGATTTGCACTTTTTCACTTAGTTAGTTGTAGTAATGATGTAGTTCTGCATTTGTGATACATGTAGTGTATTTTGAGGTTGATGCTTATCTGGAAGTATTTTGTGGGAGGGTAGTTTCAGTAGCTCCCTTAAAAAAAAAAAAAAAAAATAGAGGTCACCACAGGAAACGCATGTATTCCGATGACTCCTAGTGGTCATGTGAATAAAGACACATTGGCAGTGAGGGCTGATATAAATAACCAAATATGAACTTCCTGTACCTTACTACAAAAAAATCATATTTTTGTAATATAATGTCACACTGATGCCTAGCTTTCAATGCAGCAAAAAAAAAAAGCTCTTTCAAGATGGCGTAATTTATTTGTCAAAAAGACAGTGACTTGTTGACAGTACATCTAACATAAAAACAAAGACAAAATTAATAATTTCCAACTGGAAATAAGCCATGAAGCAGTTTCAAAAAGATGCAGCAGAGAGAAACAAACAAAAATGTTGAACCCTCTAAGCTTTTTGTTTAATGCTTTCTATAAATAATAGTTTCATGTATTTTGTCTAATATTAAAAAACTAAATCTTCTACTTAAATGTCTGCTTGGCAAACCTAGTTGGCCAACCAAGTCTTGTTAATCATGCCTGTTAACATGCAAATACCCCTAATTAATACGAATACTTAATAAATGCTATATTAGACCTCAAGAGTGTTTGTTGTTTGTTTGTTTGTTTGTTTGTTTGTTTGTTTGTTTGTTTTTTTTTGGGGGGGGGGGGGGTTGACTTTGGAGTAACAGGCTATATGGAAAATTTTTCCAAGAACCTACCAAATTTTAGTCCAACATTAGTTTCTTTTACCATCTCTATGAAAAATATAAAATCTCTCTACCTGCTTAATGCTGAAGAAAGTTCGACAGTCACTAAACGTGCTGAATAACTGGTGCACAGTTGGTTTATTATAAAAAATGAAACCGCTTCCTGCAGTGGTTGAATGTTATGGGTGTACAGTTTTTTACATGAAAGAGGAAGAGTTTCAAAGCCATAACCATGAAAGCACCTGACTGAACACAGGGAGACAATCATTAGTCCAGGTTGTTACCTTCTTCAGTGGCTGAGGGGAGAACCTGACTCTGGCCTGAAGGTAAATTAGAAGTAATGGGAACCATCTTAGACTCATGGAGAATAACTACAGCTGTCATTATTACTATACTACACATCCAAGGTGAGTTTTATAGTATTTAGATTTAAAACCTAGTACTAGACTGCTTATTACAAAAATAATTAAAATGTGTAACTAACACCAATGTTTTATGACAGCAGTAATCAGCACCAAAACCACAGTTTTTTCTGGTGTGGAAGGTGAGAGTTTTGTCTTCAGATGTGAATATCCAAATGGCCTGACGGAGAATTTGAAGTACCTGTGCCGTATTGATGAATGCTCCAGTTACTTGATAATGACAGACAAACATAACCGGTGGGAGACCAAAGGACGCTTCTCCATGTACGACAACACCACTGGAAGCTTCTTCATTGTCAAGGTGGATAAACTGAGGTTAAATGACAGTGGGACGTATCAGTGTGGAGTGGATATCAGCCTCCAACCTGATTATCACAGCGCCATAAAACTGAATGTTTCCCAAGGTATAGTATAAATATTTACACCACAGTTCTCAGTTGGCTGGCTAAATATGGTCTCCAGTTATCCATATTTCAACTACTCAGAGCAGACTGGTTTCTGGTTAGTGGGAATTGTCCCATAGGACAACCACAACTGATCAAATCAAATCAAATCAAATCAAATCAAATCACTTTTATTGTCACATCACATCAACTGAGATGATATAAGTAAGTTAGATAAGTTAACTAAGGCTAAAAAATAGAAGGTATATGTGCTGTTCAGCAAGGTGATGAATTCACAGGAATAAAATATTATAGCTCTTATGAATTCTGTTTGTGACCCCAAAAATAATAGGCCATAAATGACATTCATGAGAAATCAGTCGTACTAATTCCATGTTCTGCTTTCATGAGGTTTCTGTTTCTGTAAAGATGTACAGTGGAGTCGAAAAGTTGGACTTACTTTTTATTTTAACTTTATCTTTTAAAATATTTCTATGTAAATGTGAAAATATCTTGAAAAGCTTTAAAGTACACACTTATGAATTAATTTTGTATAATTAACTGACCAAAAGCAAATTTCTGTTATTGATTGTGTTATTGCTTTGTTACAAAAGGTCAGATTCAGTTATCTCCTTTTCATGTAAACAACATTCAAGCAATATTCAAGTGTATTTAAGGACATTTTTTCCCCCGTTTAAGCATTAGTGTAGTTTAACGTTCATAGTTTCATAAGTGAAACTCAGAACATAAGGGACTTTCTCGTCAATTGACTGGAGGTTTCTTCTGAGGAAGTAAACAAGACTAAATCATTTGGGTAACATACCAGTATTTCACAGACATGATCGGAAAGGAAGCCATGTCTGCTGCTGAAAGTTTGAGACTTCTGGCCTGAACAGCCAAAATAAATGGAAGCGTTTATGAAGATAAAAAAGGAAAAGAGCGATGCAGCAGCATATCAGACCAACAGCGAAACAGGGTGGTTAGAGGCTATTTTGGGCTTGAACACGTGCACAGAATCAATTTCACTCTTAGCAAGGAGAAGTGGTACTTCAGTCTCATGAAAACTTTTCCACCCAGTAGTTTACATGCTTGCAAAGAAAAAGTCACGCTGCAGTAACATATTTAGCAATTTGAAAAAGAAAAGCATTTTTAAAAATTGAATAAGAATTCAATTAGAATTTTCAATGCATTTTCCAAGGGTTGGAGGGCCAGAGACTAAATCCCAGCCACTATAGGGTGGCCTTAAGCACACCCTGAACAGGCTGCCAATCGTATGCAGGGCTAACACATAGAGAGAGACAACCACTCACACTATGGGGCAATTTAAAATCACAAATTAACCAAACCTCATTAGTTGCATGTCTTTGGACTGTGGGAGGAAGTCGGGGTACCTCTGTGCATACTTTCATTTTATTTGCTCATTTATAAATTCCTCTTTTTGTATTTTCATTTTCCTGTAAAAGTAATACCAGCCAATAGTGAAGACACAATAGAGAGTAAGTGATGTGTTTGATGTGTTTGTGTGCGCGTGTATTTTCATCTGTTTTATTAGCACTGAGATTTGTATTTGTGTAAATGTTCCAGCATATGAACCTCAGCTGTTGTTCCACCTGCCGCTGGTCCTGACTGCTGTTATGTGCGTGGCAGCACTCATGTTTGTGTGTCTGTTCACATTATGTCTTCTACTGGTTCTGAAACACAGAAGATCAATCCCACCGCAGAATAAAGAGGTTTGTCCACCACAGACACTTTTAGATGTGCTAGCAGTATAAGCAACAGCAAAGTGGTTCAACACTGTACATTTGAAGTTTCTCATTATTAGTCAGTAACATTTATGAAATGTGAAACATTCATGAAACCTAAGGTTATATCGCAATAACAGGTCAAAATGTGAAGAGGATGTCAGTGATGAGTCATAAAGGTAGAACATAACATGTCATAAGCTTACTCTGGAAAAACACACCTTCAGAAAGGAAATAATAGTAAAATCACTGCATGGAGTTGACAGGCTCACAAAAAACCTTTACCTGGCAAATGTTTTCTGATAACTATTTTCCTAAAGCTAATGTAAGCTGTGTGTTAGCAGAGATACCTACAAAAACAATAACATTGCTGACAAGTTCTCTGCTGTAATAACACAAATAAAAACACTTTGACCAACATAGCAAAAAGTATACAGTAATCTAAAGTTCACTTATCCCCTTAACATCTAGTTTGATACATACAGTTGAGACTTATACAGCATCAGTCTGATTTGAAGATGAATAAATACATTTTAGCAATAAACTGCAATATAAGACAAATTAAAACTCATATATGCATTTGTTTTACATTGGATTAAATTATTTCATGGTTCAGGCTTTAAAGTCTTATCATGTTTATCTTATGAGTAGCAAAATGATTCCCACAAACAGTGTGAGTGAGTGTCACGATCACACATGCATTGTGTCTTAATGCTCATGCCCACTTCTCTGGCCTGATAAAAGGTCTGGATTTTTAGTTTGGAAGCTTTAAAAGTTTCGTTTTTTGTTACAATATGTCCCACCATCTCCACTACTTCTTTGGACATGTTTTCAGATTAGTGGTAGCCGAAGGAATTGACATGGAGGTATGTTCACAAAATACACTGGAGAATGATATGCTTGTTAGCCCTGTAGTGTAGTTGAAATCTGTGTGTAATTACTCGTGTGATGACTTCTTTAATTTTCCAAGTCTCTGCTTTGATTAAAAACTGGTAGTTTTTGAAGATGTATTTATTTCCAATGAACCCTTCCTCTAAGGCAGAGGTTCTCAAACTGTGGGCTGTGCCCCCACTGGGGCATAAACAGAAGTGGTGACTTTCCATAGAGTATAAAACCATTTTGATGCTTGTTCATTAAAAACCTTTTTTTACCACTTATCTATTTTATTTTTCAATAATGTATTTAAAATAAATTAATTAATTGAAAAGGACCAGAGTTGAGGATGAGGTTGATGACCAACAAACTGACTATCGTCCTCACTTTTCCCTTACAAAACATGTGGGAGAATCTTTGGCAGCTGTCACTTGAATGTAATGTGTGGTTTGTCTGCTCTGGCCTACTGAATCTTTTTTTAAAGAAGGCTCTGTAGAAAAGGCTCATTCTAAGCTAACAAAAATACAATCATAAATAGTTACAGGTGATGAATCAAAATCTATATACTCCATGTATGCCTATAGATACACAATAGTGTTGTAATGTGTAATTTGACTGCAGAAAATGCCACATTGTTTACTCAGCACAAAGAAAACATGATCTCACTCTAAGTGTTCTTCTGGTATCTTGCAGATAACGTCTGACTATGAGACTATGATGCCAGGTCTAAAAGCTGAGCCTCAATGTTGCTGCAGCTGTTCAGCCCCAAACTGCGGTGATCCTTCATCTTTACCATTACCACCACCACCTGACCTCTGCTCCAGCTTCCTACCAAAGCATCGGGAGTCTGCTCTCTCATTCGGCGTTGGTGAATATGTTGATGTGGATGTACTAGGAAATATCTGCCAGTACCAACATCTGGATCTCAGCCAGTTAGAAGAGCATGTCTATCACAGTCTTCATGTACATAGTTGTCCTAAACATGAACCTATTAAAGAGGAGATGAACTGTTTAAATGTCAAAAGATAATTCTGGGCTAATCATACCTTAAGTCTTAGTAGTGTGGTTTCAATCAGCCTCTCACAAAAAGTACCAGTGATATAGAGTAGCTTGGTAAATCTGTAATTAATAATTCAACTAATGAAATCAAATGACCAATCCTGATCCAGATCCTGATTTAATATATTAGTTTTATCCTTTTACAGTGTTTGAATGACAGAAAGAGCTGAGTAACTCAAAACTTTTGGATCTTTATGCAATTTCTTTAAGTGTATATTTTTGTTTTGTTTAAATGGCAAAAAGAAAAAAGAAAAACAAAAAAATCTGAGTGGATGGTTTAAGCAGTGTCACTGTGCTCTACAATTTTTATAATATTTACCAAAATAAACAAACAGGTTTATATCTGAAGTTTTGCTTGTAGTTATTATTTACTGACCTGTTACCTCTTGATTACTCATTGTGAGAAAAGCGCATGGGAGGGACATGCTGATGGTCATGGTTTTTGGGGAGAGAATCAGACAGAGGAAACTGATGAAAGACAGGAAGTGAAAGGAAAAAGAGGAACCCGTGAAGAAAAGCAGACTTGGTATTCATTTAGAAAGACTCGCAAGGGCAAAGAATCAGGGTGATTAAAGTAAAGCCCAAGGACGGTAACAAAAAGAAACCTTACGTGAAGCATGGAGATGACTGTGATCTTTGTGATATTTCTTTTGGAAGGTAAGTTTACTGTCCTCTTTTAACTGATCCTTTTACAAAAACCTTTGCACATTTCATGGGAAATGCCTCATTTGCGTATTTAAACACAAATTTTGCGTAACAAAAATAATTATCAAAGTAGGATTGAGCGATAGTGAGAAACATCATCAAGAAATTCAAAGAGAGTCAAGCAGTACAGAATAATCCTGGCAGACACAAGAAAAGAAATCTTTCAAAGACTTCAAAAAGAAAAGAGATGTGGCTAAAGACCTGAAAACAACTGCCAAGAAATTAGTGAATAACTAAGTTGGGAACTGTAGTTTCAAAGAAGACAATCACTGCAAGGTTGCAGAACAAGAAATATCTTGATGCATGCTCAATCATCCAGGTAAGTAAATCCCCAAGAGTTGATTCTGTTCCTCTGGACGTAGTGTTTTCAATGGGAGAAACATTTGACTTCTTCAGTCTCAGTTGACTGCAGGTTTCCCCAATCTTATAAACAGTACATTTGCATTATGACTGAAACTAACACCACTGAAGGAACAATGGGCTGGGAGGTCAGTTCCTTGATGATCTCGGGATGATCTGGCTCTAGAGTTGGCAGTTTGTCTTCTAATCGGAAGGTCGCCGGTTCGAGCCCTGGCTCCAACAGTCTCAGTTGTTGTGTCCTTGGGCAAGACACTTCACCCGTTGCCTACTGGTGGTGGTCAGAGGGCCCGGTGGCGCCAGTGTCCGGCAGCCTCGCCTCTGTCAGTGTGCCCCAGGGCAGCTGTGGCTACAATGTAGCTTGCCATCACCAGTGTGAATGACTGAATGTAGTGTAAAGTGCTTTGTGGCCCTTAGGGATTAAGTAAAGTGCTATACAAATACAGACCATTTATCATTTTACCATTTAATATGGAAATTCTCATGACCATTGATCAAAGATGACTGATCAAAGCACATTGGTCAAAGGCCACTAATCAAAGACCCTCTCTCTGAATGAGTACCATTCAGAGAGAGTTGGGGAATGGCTACAATCACAGCATTGTAAGATGGCGAAAGATGTACCCTTTGCTATCCTACCCTGGAATACCATGAAGTCATTGGTTCACGTATGTGGATGACACCTGGGTGAAAATCAAATCTCAGGATGTTCCACAATTCACGGATCACATTAACTTGGTGGACCAACACATCAAATTGACCAGGGAGGACATGAAAAGTAGCAGGTTAGCCTTCTTAGACTGTGAGATTTCCATCACTAACGGGGGATATCTAAAAGCTGATGTGTACCGTAAACCTACGCACAAGGATTAGTATTTAAGATTTGACTCTCATCATCCACTGGAGCATAAACTGGGTGTCATTAGGACACTACAACATAGAGCGAATACCACAGCGGCCAGGGAAGCAGAATCACATCAAGAAGGCCCTGAGTAAATGTGGTTATCCCAGCTGGACATTTGTAAAAGCTGAGAAGGCACCTAAAGAAAGTCGATCCAAGAGAGAAGGACAACAGCTGAGATGCATTTTTTCTAAACACCGTGTCTCTGTGGCTTTTAAACCTTTTAAACCCAAAACACGCTTCACCAAAAATTGGAGAAACAGAGTAAAATAGTGTACGCTGTCAAGTGCCAGGAGTATTCCCAGGATTTATACATTGGGGAAACCAAACAACCTCTGGTGAAGCGGATGGCACAACACAGAATAGCTACCTTGTCAGGCCAGGACTCTGCAGTCTATTTACACCTACAGGCCAGTGGACACTCTTTCAAGGATGAGGATGTACACATCCTGGACAGGGAGGAACGCTGGTTTGAGTGCAGAGTCAAGGAGGCCATTTACGTGAAAAGGGAAAGACCATCTCTGAATCGAGGAGGTGGCCTAAGGGTACATCTTTCACCATCTTACAATGCTGTGATTGCAGCCATTCCCCAACTCTCTGTGAATGGTCCTCATGGCCTTTGATCAGTGGGCTTTGATCAATGGTCATGAGAATTTGCATATTAATGATCAAGGAACTGACCTCCCAGCCCTTTGTTCATTCAGTGGACTAGTTTCAGTCATTATGCAAATGTACTGTTTAAAAGATTGGGGAAACCTGCAGTCAGACTGAAGAAGTTACTTTTTTTAGTGATGAAACTTTTCGCCCACTGAAAATGTTACATCCAGATGAATCAACTTTTTGGGAGAAAAAGAAATACTAAAATTCTGCAAAAGACACATCTTCAAGACTGGAGTATGCCACGGATAACCTGGAAAACCATTATGCATACTGTAAGTGTGTCCTTTGGTCAGATGAGACAAAACTGGAGTTCTTTGACCACAGACGCGCTGCTTATGTTTGGCAGAAAATGGGAGAGGCATACAATCCAAAGCCATCCTCACAGTGAGTATTATGCTGTGGGGATGCTTCAGTGTCTCTTAAATTGGGAATTTCATCAAGGTGGAATAAATCATGAGGAAAGAAGGAAGATTTGAAGATTGTTAAATAAAACCTCAAGCAGTCAGCATTAAAACTGGGTATTGGCTGTTGATTTGTGTTCAAACACATCAACAACCAAAAATAATCATATGTCACTTCTGCTGAAGAACTTCCTCCAGAAGATTAAATTGAAGGTTGTTGACTAGCCTGCACAAAGCCCTGATTTGAATCACATTGAAAGGCTGGGGGGTGACCAACGTCCATAAGAAATATTAAATCTGGAGGTTAAATCTGGAGGAATTTGAGAGATTTCCCAAAGAAAAATAGCTGGAATTGCTCAACATAAGACTTATTGAAAACTACAAAAAAAAGACTGCAGGCCTTTATCCAGCAAATAAACAACTGACTATTCACATCCATCCATCCATCCATCCATCCATCCATCAATTCGCTACCGCTTCTCCTTTTCAGGGTCGCGGGGGGCGCTGGAGCCAATCCCAGCTGTCATAGGGCGAGAGGCGGGGTACACCCTGGACAGGTTGCCAGTCTGTCGCAGGGCTAACACACAAAGACAGACAACCATTCATACTCACATTCACTCGCACATTCACACCTAGTGGCAATTTGGATTATCCAATTAACCTATCCCCACAAACTGCATGTCTTTGGACGGTGGGAGGAAGCCGGAGTATCCTCCCACCGACTATTCACATCATAGTGGCTAATAGTTTTGATTAAAAACTGTTAGTTTTTGGTTTGATTAAATAAGTTGTTTAATGAGTGCAAAGACCAAAAAAATGTAAGCATAGCATCTAGAATAAAACTATGTTGATGTTTGAAAAAACAAACAAACCCCAAAACCAAAAATAAGCTCCTTGCTTATTTTTGTACGTAAGCAAAATACTGAATATTAAACTATATTTGCACATAATACTAAAAAAGGCTAATGATTAATGCAATGAAATATGAAAGTTTTCTTTTAACTGTATTTGGTATTATAGACATGGACTCTGTGCTGCTGGGAAGTAAAAAGGATTATATATTATATCAAATGTAATGAATCATTTTTTTCCACACTTGGTTCTGTATGATGCGTAAGAGAGGGCATATTCATAATATGGTTATCTCAGAAACAGAAAGCTCTGTCTTTTAGCTAAGAAGAGCTGCCTACCAACTATTCTTATTTTGTTTTTCTGCAACAGCCAATTCAACGTATGCTGGCTGAAAGGCGGTAGTCCTAAAGAGAAGACAGCAAAAATGGCTTCAGATAGTGGATGAACTACAGATAATACAGAGTATAGTTCAAATATATACTTCTGATTATAAACCACAACATGATCTGACTGTTGGTGCTCTGTGTGTGTGCGCGTGTGTTTTTTCTAGGATTATGGGAGACTAAAGCTATGTCAGTAACAGGAAACAAGGGCAGCTCTATCACAGTAACCTGCTCTCACTCCAACGCCTACTCCAGCGTCAAATATTTCTGCAAAGGACAATGCACATATCAAGACATCCTCATAAGCAGCACTACCATTTCAAATAAAAAATACAAAATTGAAGATAAAGGAAATACATTCAGTGTCACTATCTCTGACCTGAAAGAAGATGACTCTGGAACTTACTGGTGTGGAATTGAACGAGTTGGTTTGGACACATATAATCAAGTAATCCTTACAGTTTTAGGTGAGTTGATTATATTCTGTACGTAAAGCTTTCATTATGTTATCTGTTCTGACTTTCAAATTTCTTGTCATTGACAATAGTATTTCACAACAGGGTCTCAGATTGTGTTTTCTGCACCAGACAGTGAAAAAAAACTGAAACACTAGCTCAGCAGAGCTGAGGCAAAATTAACTTACTTCACTTCCTGTTATTTGTGCACAGCTAACCAAGATAAGGCAGCCTATACACATGCTTCTCTTTCTGGTAAGGAAATGGCTGTGTGTGCGTGCGTGTGTGTGTGTGTGTGTGTGTGTGTGTGTGTGTGTGTGTGTGTGTGTGTGTGTGTGTGTGTGTGTGTGTGTGTGTGTACATATATCTGATAAAGTCCAGTGTGATATATTGTTGCTGATTTATAAGACCTATAACGTTTTCAGAGACGGTGGTGTATACTGGAGTAACTCTCGGTGTGGTGGTGCTAGTGCTGGGCGTGGGACTTCTGATTTTCTTCAGACATCGAAACAGCAACATCAATGCATCATCTGGTATAAAAAATTAACAAACTTTTATTTGCGTAGCTTCAAAATACTAATTTAACAGC